CAAGTTAAAACACGATCACTGCAGCAGGATCGCTTTTCTTAGAAACTTCATTGCAGGTACTTAAACAAAAAGCGCTCTGATATCCAAAGTCGCAAAAAAATCGCCTGTTCGGGTTTAATCCTTGTATTGAACCAGTGTTCCAGATTTAAATATAAATATATAAACACATATGCACAATACACAAATATACGTAGAAGCACACACAATACACGCACACGTCTTCTCTATCACAAAGCTGTGTAACCACGCGCACACTCGTCAAACTACTTGTATCAACTGCCTGTAAGCATTGTATAGTCTTACAACAATGCGCGCAGAGGCGACTGCAGGAATGAACTCTCATTGCAAGTACTTACACAAAAAACGCTCTGATATCCAAATCTCATAAAATTATGACTGCTGCTTTTTATCCTTATATGCGTGATACATATATTGTCTTACTATAATATTGTTGTTTTGTCTTAGTTCTAAGCTAATAGCCCCCCCAGTGGCACAGCGGTATGTCTGCGGACTTACAACGCTAGAAACCGGGTTTCGAAACCCGTGGTGGGCAGAGCACAGATAGCCCTTGTGTAGCTTTGTGCATAATTAAAAAACAAACAAACAAACTAAGCTGATAAGTGTCCTTATATATTTCGTAATGGAATTTCGACATATCCGTTAAGGGTATACGTTCACAAGTATCATTACTTACTAACTAATAGTATATAACTCATAATGTTTTTGGAAGTATTTTTTTTAGTAACGTACTATACATGTTAAGCAAGCGACAGTGTCTGACTTTTAATGTAAATTATTATATAGGTCAAGTTTCGACATATAAGTTAAATATTAAAATAAGTGTAAGTAAAAATGTCCAAATTTGTCCAATCTGATTTTTTGCATCTGACAGTAATATAAGTTTTAGGAAAATCAGTGAATTAAAAAATTCGGCGATTTTTTGCGACTAATTTGTTTTCTTTTTAATTTCTGTTTTAGAATCACCAATGCAATAAATAACCAGTTTCCCTGTTATTATTGTTTGTTAACCCAGTTTGTATTCTACTCTCCAGTCAATTTTATGACTAACTGTAAAGGTTTACTATTATTAATTTAGAACTATTTTGGAATAAGAGATTATTAATACCATGTAATATTCGAACCCACGATTCTAGGCTCTTAACAGACAAATGTCTTATTCAGCTAAACTCCCTCGTCTCAAAATGAATACGTTTCAGTAACTTAACAATGTATCTTATGATAATATGAGAGAAAAAAAGATAAATAAGAGTTCATGTTTGGATTATTAAAAATTCAAGTTTTGATCAAACATATACGTATTTGGTATTTTGAGATCAATTTAAAACTAAGAAGAAGTAACAAAGGTTCTAGACCTGCTTAACACAATGTAAATGAGTCTGATTCCACCATACATGAAAGAGCACATCAAACAGCACTTTATTTACATAAATATGACATATAAAACATGATGACTGGAAAAACTATTTTTCAAAATACAAGCACTGTTCGTCTGTATGGCTAGCTAATTCTGTGTTAGCTGTTTGAGCAAAACAAAAAGCAACATCTCTAGGCAACCACCGAAGCAAAATCTAAGAAAGAAGTAACTTATGTCAAATCCTAATCTTCTCTAAAACTTTCCACTTGCCATGTCATCCACCTTATTCAATTCGCCTTATTTACAAAAAGGGATAATAAGCTTTTCAGTGACTCAATTTTCACATCAGACAATCGTTAAAAATAAGCTTTGACTTCTCCTATTTGCTGATCATGTATATAGAAAATGGTATATCTTAACTAATTTTCCTGACCGCATGTGATTATCTAAGAGCAGGATCAAACAGTCTATTCAGACTTATTACTATGGTATAAGCACAATACATTTTTCCTAAACACTTATTCAATATAAATTTTGTTTTAAATTTTCATGCTTGTTTCTTTTGAAGCTACACATACAAAGCTACACAATGGGCTATCTGTGCTCTGACCACCACGGGTATCGAAACCCGGTTTCTAGCGTTGTAGGTCCGCAGACAGACTGCTGTGCCATTGGGGAGGGGGCGAAATTTTCATGCATACAATCTGTGTAGTTTTAACAAATAACGTTAGCCGTGGAACTAACATTTCTTTTGCCCTATCTATTGTACTGAGTCATTCACCTAGGATGTTATGTGCACTTTCTCGTGGTTAAGATTTCTGTAAGGTTGAACATAGTGGCATATCAAGTTATAATTTTCATGAATATTTTCAAGAAAAGAGATGTTATTTCCGAACTACATGTTAGAAACTATGTTCCCTCCTTCCTTGTGTTTGTTTTTTGTTTTATTGTTTGTTTTTGAATTTCGCGCAAAGCTACACGAGGGCTATCTGCTCTAGCCGTCCCTAATTTAGCAGTGTAAGACTAGAGGGAGGACAGCTAGTCATCACCTCTCACCGCCAAATCTTGGGCTACTCCTTTACCAACGAATAGTGGGATTGACCATCACATTATAACGCCCCCACGGCTGAAAGGGCGAGCATGTTTGGTATGGAAATTCGAACCCGCGACCCTCAGATTACGAATCGAGCCCCCTAACCACCTGACCATGCCGGGCCCTCCTTTCCTTGTGAAGTTGAAGTTTTTGGTGAACACGACGCAGATTGCCCATTGTGTTGTTTTGCGCAAAAACAAATAAACGAAACTATAACATTGAACAGGTTTTCATTAAATATTTGTTTTTCTTTTTTTAACGAAGAGAAAGCAGCATTTGCATTTCTGTTTTACATATACATTTAATTAACTTAATGAAGATAACTCTATTTGTGAATTTAGGTTTTATGATACTTCGGCTCTTTTTGCTTTTCATGATTTCGATTAAGCAAATTAAGAAGGTAATTTACTATTTATTAATGATAGTGTTTGATATCCTGTTTGAACTATTACTGCTTCTTTTCAGTGTTCATTTTTGTTGTCTTTGAATGCATATACATATTCAAATTTATGATGTTATCAGTAGATTTGAATGTAACGGTTGCTTTATGGAATTATAACAAATGTTCCTATTTTTAACTGAACAGACAAAGACGGCAGCTGGTAAACAGAATCAACAGTTAGTTCTTGGGCTAGTGTCTGACCGAATAGTAGGATTTGATCTTCAGTCGCTTAGCGTACTCACGGTTACAAAGTGCAAGCGCGTTTTTGCAGCAACGGGACGCAAATAAAAAAAAATCCTCAAATTCACAATCCAACCACATTTTACCCTAGTTACAGTTGGAATATAGCATAGGCAATATTTGAAAACTTGAGATCACATGTAAAATTTTTTAATTGTTTCGGATTCTTCTGAAACCACACTTCATAAAAAAAAAGACGGCATGGGATAATATTAGAGAAAAGCTGTTTGCACATAACAACCATCTTTGGTCAAATTTGAAAAAAAAACAACAAATCATTAAAACTTGTGCCTTATGTACAGTTATTATCCTATAATGCTGAAGGTTGTCTTACATCACAAAAAATGTGATTCTTATAATTGCAGACGGAAGGAAAATGTAAGATTAATCTGACAATGCTTCCCGGAAGCAAGACAGCTCTGTTTCCTCTGTTTTAATGTAACCATACGTGGAGCCTACGAATTAAATATAACTTTCTGTTTACATAGATTATGTAATTAAATTACACATGTTACTTAGATAGAACGTTGAATTACTAGTGTTGGTAAATATTAATATTTTAAAAATCTGGTATTGTAGGAAATTTGGAAATTACAGTTTCTAGTATGCGTTATTCGAGGAAATAATACAAAAAAATATTTTTGTATAGTCAACTGACTACGTGCAAAAAGAATTTTGATGATATGTATATAATTCGAAGTATTATATCTGGTAGATTTTATAGTACTCCACAAATGAAAACAGTATCTGTCACAAAATTTGAACTTAGTACATTTGATATCCATTCTTTAATCTTAATTACAAAATAGTTTCGTACTTTATGGCTGTTATTATACATAAACTAGCAGAGCCCCGCAAAACATTTGTGATCAGTTAGTATCTTTATTGCAAGAGTGCTTCTTTAAATACAGGGGTTCTAGAATAATGCAAAAGAATCTTAATCGCAAACATCGAAGTCCACTTGTCTTAGGCCTAACATCAGTTAAACCTTTAATGAGTATACGGCCTATATTCGATAAAGAGATTAATTAACACTGTAATCTATGTAAATTGTTTGGTTTAGTTTAGTTAGGGTTAAGCTTTATAAATAAACTGACAATGTTATTCTACGACCTGACGTTAGACCTTTCTAAAAACTTTGAAAAGTTTATAATATGCTGCTATACAAAATGTCTACTAAAGTCTATTTACATCCTTTCGTTTACATCCGTTGAAATGATTTAGATAGTAAAGTGCGCGCGCATTTTCAGGACAGACAGAAATTGTATGTTATTATAATAGATTAACTGAATTTGCTGGTCTCTATTGAGCATTGACATCACAACAAATTACTAAATAAACAACAAAATAGAAAAATATAGTTTCAGTGTGCAAAGCCATCGACCTTAACTTTGGAATATGTGTTCATTACTCAAAGCAAGCATATAAAAAGAATATCCGATGTTATATTAATGGAAATCCTCTCCCACAATAATATTCATCCATGCTACACAGTGAATCACAATAGATTCACCAAAAACACAAGCGGTTCCCTTCCTTTAAGCACTAACTAAAACACAATAGTGATGATCGACTCATCCTGTTGTCGAAATAGTTGTCAAGACTGGAAAAACCTGTCTCTTTGCGCTAAACCTGACTATAAAATAGGAATTTTGTATTGTAGTAATAGGTGAGCAAGTGATAACTTGATGCGTGGGTTGAGTGGACTAGCTTCTTGGAAAAATGTTTGACTTTGTTGAAGCAGCATAATTGCCGCAGGCCTTTCGGTTGGAATAGTATTAGCCTTACCACATCTATTTGTATTCGTAGATTGTTGCCTTCTCTGAAGGACAAGCCAGTTCTCGTCACGTGACAGTGATAACGAAGGACCACTTCCAAGGAAATTCTGCGCAGGTGTTGCCCCCAGAACCGGTTAGGGTAAATATAAAAAGATCTGAAGAGTGTGTGTCACTCGAAGTAACGTACTCAGTTTGTCTTTGGATTTCATATAGAAAAGAGTGAGGTATGATTGTTGAATTTTTCTACATGTTTTTAATAGCTTTCGAACTCGTTTAGTTTTTGTTTATACATAATTTATTTCTATGATAGATTTTTACAACATAAATTTATAATAACTCTTTATTTTTATGCTTAAACTAGTCGCTTTAATTTAGAAACTCGACATGCCTGATTAACATTTTACTAAAGTATTATTTAATAACAATACAAGTATCATATATATCGCTGAAAATTAATAATCTCAGACACGTAGGGGTAAGAAGTTTACCTTGCGAATGATAGTAAGAGTAAATATAAAACTGTGTGTTTCTATTCAGGAGAACAGAGAAATTCAAAATTTGGTTGAAAAACTCTATATATCTACGCCCTTATTGTTGTTAATAATAATATTATCCTACATAGTGTCTTGGTGATTTAGTTTCGATGTTTGTTTTATGTTTTATCTCTACGGACGTGTGTTGTATCTGAAGAAAGCTAGTCTTGGCGATTTAGTTTCGATGTTTGTTTTATGTTTTATCTCTACAGACGTGTGTTGTATCTGAAGAAAGCTAGATATTTCGGTTTAATCTCTTTCTCGGCTTGAAGTCGTGGAAATACCATTGATGTTTCTTTTATACCTTTTAACATAGTGTGAAGTATAATGTTTAATCTAAATATTTATTTCAAAATGGTGGAACTGGTGCAATTGTGTTATAATGCCTTTACGCAGCATATCTTAAGTGTTCCAAGATGTTATTTATGTCTAAACTTTTAAAGAATGTTTGTTTAATATGGAGACAAAACTTTTTTATTTCCTACTTGTAATAGACAATGAAAGTGTTGTTGTTGATGACTTTCCTTTTTGGAACGGCGTTGGCTTATCCACAAGACGATGACGGACCAGTCTGGGGTGGTTCAAACAACGATGACGATGACGATGACGGGGGTATTAGTAGTCGAGTTGGCAACCCACAATCTAGTTTTGGTAACTGCGAGTGTGTACCTTATTACTTGTGTAAGGACAATAATATTATCACTGATGGTTCTGGCGTACTCGACCCTAGGAAAAAACCAGTACCCTCCAAAGAACCCGGTTTGGTAAGTAAACCTAGGAAAAAAAATAGTACCCTCCAAAAAACTCGATTTTATCGATAAAAAAGAACAATGATTCCTAAGATAAGCAACTTTATTTAAAAAAAAAGGGATTCCCTTCCGTTATAGATAAATAATGTTATTTATTTTGAGTATCATTATCCTGCCCCCCAGTGGCCCAGCGGTATGTCTGCGGATTTACAACGCTAGAATCCGGGTTTCGATACCCGTGGTGGGCAGAGCACAGATAGTCCATTGTATAGCTTTGTGCTTAATTACAAATAAACAATCATTATCCTTTTTATTGTGAAATTTCGTTTTCCTCTGAACACACCGATTTTATCAGTTACGTATGTGTTGTTAATATCGGGTGGTGGCGAACAGTATTAGAACAGTACTTTGTTCGAAACAAGCATACTGCGTAATTATTATTATTGTTGTTGTTAGTATTATTATTATCAACAGTAAGGAAAAAATAATCACTAGAATTACGTGGAATATATTGCTCGCATTCAATCTTCACTTTTGAATAATTTAATTATACAACTGACATGAAAATTAATTAAAGCTTTTGATGTTTTTGAATTGTTCACATTGTAATTAAATATGATTAAATTGACCAGCAGAGGGATTACTGAAATCACTCTTACTTTCCTCTTCATTCAGCTTTATTTTATATTGGTACTGTGAAAATTATTTTGATGGTTAGTTGTCAAGAACAATGCTACACAATAGGTTGCCTGTACTTTGCCCAAAACGAGTATCGAAACTCGATTTTCAGCGTTGTAAGTTCGCTGACATACCGCTGTGCCACTGGGAAATGTTATTCTTAGAGAAGATAAATAATCTCATAATGGCGTATCTCGAGAGAGAGGACCTAAAAATTGGTCACATTATTATTTAACTTTGGTCTTTAAAGTTTAATTAAAGCTGGTAAATAGTATAAATCTTATTAATATTCTTACGTTACTTATTTGATCTGTAATAAAATTCGAAACTACTATTATTAAAAATCATCGATTATCAAATAGCTTTTGCTGATAATAAATATTATTAAGTTCACTAGTAGTTAATCGTAAGGATCGAAAAGGTTTTCAAATAATTCACGAGCCGAAAAACCGAAGCGGAAACAGACTATTCAAATTATTGGTTACGATATATTATGCGCATATATATATTAATAACATTTAAAGGTCGTTAACATTTCTGGTAAAACAATTCAAAAATTTCTAAAACAACAACGTTTTCTTCCACTACCTACCTACGCTAGCCCTTAGACGGCTCGGACTATCGCTACAAAATTCCTCCAGGTTACTTGACTGGTCTTTGGGTATCTGCTTTTGATATTCCGATAAATAAAAAATACAAATACAGATTTTTTTTATAAATGGTAGACATATCATGCAGTATTTAAATATGTTTTAACTCCAATTCGACCCAGCAGATGGCGCTACATATCGATGGATAGACACATGACAGTTTCTGAAGGTAAAAGTAAACAAACAAGAATATTAAAAAATTATGAATTTTAAAATGATATAGGGACCCTTCTACAAAAATTAATGAAACACTAATTAAAACCACAATTACAAATTTAAAAAATCTAATCCCTACTTAGGCAGGTTTATACACTTATCTGTAGGTCAAAGTAAGGATTACATTTGTGATTGTGGTTTTGATTCTTGTAAAAGTTTATTGCTATCGGGGATATGGCTATACTAAAACTTTATAGATGTTATATCAATTCCATGGACATATAAAAACTGAACAAATGAATAGGGAAAAAAAAAAGTTAAAATTTTAACAAAGTAGGAGTCTTTGCTGCAATAAATAGTAAATAAACAAGTGAAGTTATACTAGTTATATAGATTTTAAAACGATTTCCAATCCCTATTTGGGTTCGCAAATTTAGACTGCTTCATTTAGCTATACGGATCACACTGCCTACCAAAGTAGGAATTGAAAATCGTTTTAAAATCTATCCAACTAGTATCACTTTACTTGTTTACTTCTTATTGTAACGACCCATAATTTCCGTTAAAATGTTAACTTTGTTTTCCTATTTATATAATATATAAACTTGTGTTTTTTGTTTTGTTTTTCTTTTACTATCCATAATCTCCTAATACTTTGATTACATGTAATTTCATTACTTTGAAATCCCACTTGGTATCTATTTTACAATAGATATGTATATAATGAATATAGGTTGGGAAAGGCCTAATAGTTGGCGATTGTTCAGTTATGGCTCAGAAGATCCATAGTTCGAGCTGCGATATGCCACTCAAAACGCTCTGTGCATGTAAGTTGTGGTGGGAATTATAACAATGTACATTCGGATAAAAGAAATATTGTAAGTTGACTCTCTCTATGTTTAGCAATTATAAATGAACGATGACTTTTTTGACTGAGCCTTAAGGGTCTCTTACCTGGCCCTATAGCTCATGTCTTGAAAGATGTCTCATATTAAAAAAAAGATTATTCGCGTTCATGCTTAAACAATCTGCGTATGAATACAGAACAGTAAATCGCTGTATATTTAATCTGGATTCTTAAATATCTTACTATATATATATATATATTATTTTTTTTTTATTGTAGTCTGCCCGCCTTGGTCCAGAAGGTCCAAGTGGGTGTGGTCCGTTTCACGTATGTTGCACTGCGCCAACAACATCAACAGTAAAACCATATACTCATCAATGTGGCTTCAGGAACGTCAATGGGATCAACAAGCGTATTTTGAGTCCTAATGGTAAAGATCTATCTGAGTTTGGAGAGTGGCCTTGGCAGGTAAAAAAAATAATAGATGTATTGAATGAATGGATAAACACCTACTTACCAATACACACGATCTTAAGCTAAGAAATTTAAGTACATGTCTTATTAACTTTTCTGTGGCTAATTCTTATTTGAAATAAACTGTTATTGTGAGCATTTCTAATACGGTTTTCTACTGTAGGAATTATTGAAACATTAATACCACAAATAATTTTTGATTACCACATAGGTGTTCGAAAACTCAACTGTTTAATCTGTTGTTCAGGTTTATCTAATTAAAAAATAAGGTTTGTGTGAACTACTTATTATATTCTTTAAAAACCCATTAAATTTATGTCCATAATGAACTTGCACCCAATGAAGTGTGTGTGTGTATACTGCAATATTTCTTCTTTTTTTTTCTAATTTTACTTTCTCTATAGGGTGCTGTCCTAAAAGTCGAAGGCAAAGTTAACATCTTCCAGTGTGGTGCCGTTCTTATAGACAGTTTTCACTTGCTTACTGTAGCCCACTGCGTTTACAGATTTACGTAAGTTATTGTGTTCTTAATTGGAATCTTTACAGTTGCTTTCCCTTTCCATACCTGTTTTAATAAAATAAGTCGGAAATATTGTTTGTTTGTTTTGGATTTCGCGCAAAGCTACACGAAGGCTATCTGCGCTAGCCGTCCCTAATTTAACAGTGTAAGACCAGAGGGAAGGCAGCTAGTCATCATCACCCACCGCCAACTCTTGAGCTACTCTTTTACCAACGAATAGTGGGATTGACCGTCACATTATAACTCCCCCACGGCTGAAAGGGCGAGCATGTTTGGTGTTGATGGGGATTCGAACCCGCGACCCACAGAAGAACTAACCACCTGGCCATGCCGGACCAGTCGGAAAGAGGCGACAGCACAGAAAATAATCGCTCACCCCACTTACTGTGTTATGTGTGTTTACAGTTTTAATGAAAATTACTAAAAACATTCAGCTTAATTACGATGTCAAATGTACATTATAATACGGGGCATTTTTTTTTTTTTTTGAAATCTAAGACAGCAAATACCCCTCTGCTCCCTTCCTCTGGGCGCCCATGTTTCTATACCCGCCGTGTGTACAACACAGCGTATTGTGTAGATTTGTGCTGAACAACAGCCAAATATATATACATATATATAACACTAAAAAAGTACAGTATCAGTGATCTGGTTAAAAACGAATAATGAAAGGTGAAAGGGGCTTGCACGTTCTTTGGGGATTCAAGCACCCTAATCTCCAGAGTCAGAGGGTGTAGAGAACCTAGAAACAAAGATGCAGTTTTCTTAAACAAAGGAAATCATTTGTACGTAAAATAATAATAATAATGGTCAATTATCCATACGACTGACTACGTGGAACCATTAAATTTGTTTCTTACTTAACGTGTAGACATGATATTTTCTACAAGTCCTATTTCGCATGTCTTCAAATCAATAGTGATAATAAAAGTCAATATAATATCACGGTTACGAATTAAATTATTTGATGTAAGGGTCCAAAAGTAACGTATTACATAATAAAATACAAATTTCACGATGTTCTTTGTTTACCAATTTGAAATCTATCGATATTTACTCTTTTTTTAACGTATTTCATAATTAGACAAACCCAATGTTTTTGTCCATAGGCTTGCAAATGCTTTTCCTTTGAAAGTGCGACTGGGAGAATGGGATACCCAGAATACTGATGAGTTCTTGAAGCATGAAGATTATGAAGTGGAAAAAATTTACATCCACTCTAAATATAATCATGAAAGGAAAAACTTGTGGGACGACATCGCTATTTTGAAACTGAAAGTGGAAGTTTCCTTTGGTCCTCATATTGACACCATCTGTTTACCAAATTACCAAGAAAATTTTGAAGGTGTTCAGTGTGTGGTTACTGGTTGGGGAAAGAATGCCTACAGTAAGTTATCCTTTTAGCTAAGAACATGATATTTTCTTAAACTATCTTATATCTAAAATTTGTGATATTCCAAGCGGAGAGATAGGGGTAGTTAAGTGATAATCGCAAAGCTTACTCTTAAACAATAACTATGGTTACTCTCTCAAAGTTTTTCAAATGGCATTTGTTTTGTCATAGAAATGCAATAACAAAATAATATTAAAATATTTTCTCTGAACAGAAAATGGTACGTACTCCAATGTCTTAAGAGAAGTCCATGTGCCTGTTATTAGTAACGATAAATGTGAGCAGCTTCTGAAAGAAACTAGGCTAAGTAAGTGGTTCGTCTTGTATGAAAACTTTACCTGTGCTGGTGGAGAAAGTAACGCCGATTCTTGCAAGGTAACTTTCAGACTTATCCTATTATAATAGATGGTATTAAAACTTGTGTAACTTATTAAGTTTTCCTCTTCTGTGTTGATTTTCGAATGTGGATATAAACTTAATCCTTAAACAACTATCGTCAGTGCTGCAGAATCTTAAGACTCTGTGCTTTTTATCAACGGTGGATCTCCGCCACTAAGTGCATATAATATGGCTGGTGAAGTTAAGATATTGCATGTTACGATTGTATTTAATAATCCGTATAAAATTGCAGTTTAAAAGCTCAAAAAGAAGGTCGTCTTTTTCACCCGAAAAACATCACTTCTTTTTAAACTTTAAATACCGTTCGTTCCTGATTAAATACTTGATCTTCTTCAAAGAAGGCACCTTAAATTACAACTAAGGCGTTGATAAATTAACTCGACGGAAAGCTCAAATTAAAAGCTCTAGCATACCATGGCCGTTGAATTCATGCTCTTTGTAGATCAGTTACAAATAAAAGATGAGAAAAATGTAAGACTCGCTTACTTTTTGTTTTAATAATATCATAGTGGGACTATTCACTGCATCTACCAAGACTTAATTTCAGTCGGAGTGTTCCGGGTCGCAGGTCTATTCCTCTGTGAAGACCTAAAGTTTCGAATGAACATTCCGACTTCTAAAATCTCGTAAAGCCGCACGTTATCTTAAACGTTCGATGGTCGTCTTAACTACACTTAAAAGTAATAGTAGTGACTGTACTTTATTAGGTTCTTTATGACCTTATATTTTGGTAATGATGTGAGGGAGTGTTGAATATAGCTGTGTAACGTACGTTAAAACAAAGCCCTAGCAGAGTTGATTCAGGTGTTTATCGTGTGTTTGAGATAATTATCTTAAACACTGACTATTCTCCTATGTGTTTTCCATTCTCTGATTTTTACTTCTTATGATTTTCGACCAATCACCTTTTCAAAAAAACCACGTGCAATCTCTGTCTAGAACTCTTACCTTATCTTCTGCTTCCTATAAGTTTTGTAGTTGAATATTTGCTGTAATATTTAATTCTCTAGCATTTCTAGTGCTTAAATGTATAAATTTATAAGTTCACGAGTCAATTTTTTTAAAAAAAGACGTGTCTCTGTCTGGTAATAATATGCCGAGACTTAATGCGTTTTCTACTCGTTAAAGAAATATTGCTATGTTTCACTTTAAATACTGTATGTCATCGGTAAGTTTACAGGATTTACGCGTTGAACATGATGTAAATAGCCCATTGTTCTCCTTTGTACTAAGAAGGAAACAACAACAGATCTTAAACATAATCGTCCCATGGTGGGATAATGGTGAGACTACGGACTTGTAACAGTAAAATCCCAGAGTTCAATTCCTTGAGGGTGGACACAGCAGATAATCCACAATGACTTTGCTTTAAAAGAAACAAACAAATTAAAAAATCGTATATATATATATATATGTGTGTGTGTGTGTTAAAGATTTATTTTTCATCAGAGGTTAAATTGAAAAGATAATGTATGACATAGAGGCCTAATGCATTATTTGATTGATCGTATCTTCTTCTGTGGACTTCCTCGGCACAGATTGGGTCAGTAAACCAAAGAAATACCATTAGGCCTTTTATAAGAGGTTATTAGCATCATGCAAGAAAATAAATATAGCAGTGAAGATTGTCAAGTCTGCAGCTCTACGATTCTTTCATTAGTTGGACCACATCTCCCCCTTGCGTTGTTTAACATGTTGGAACTATTCGTTGATTTTTCTTTTATGTAAACAAAGGAAATGAATGTTACGTTCGGAACCTTGTAGTGAACGGTCTATCTTTGTTTTGTATATTTTAATCATATTTTGCGATATTAATATGGTATGTTTTGAATATTTATTTTTATTTCGGTTGTTTTTCTCGAAGAGTTTCTTCCTCTCCTATTTATTATTATTGCTGTTTTGTTTTTTAAACAAACTGTTGTTCTTGCGTTGAGCCTATAATTAAGTAGATCTATTCGTTAATATTGAACCTTGCACAAAAACTAATTTGAAATTACTTTTACTTAACAAACTATTGAAATTTAGTTTTTAATTCCAATGTTCCTTTATTATTATTATTATTATTATTATGATTATTAAATCGCAATTCACTAAGAAGCATCTTCTTCATTATTACAGGGAGATGGAGGTGGCCCCTTAGCCTGCTGGAGAAAAGATGGTACTTATGCATTGGCAGGCCTGGTATCGTGGGGAATTGACTGCGGTAGTCCTAATGTGCCTGGTGTTTATGTCAGAGTTGCAAAATATCTTGATTGGATTGCCCAAATTACTGGTCGTCCGGTCACGGATTACTGGCCACGGTCTTAAGTTCAACCTAGTCATACTTGTATTCTATACCCAGTTTATCTTTTTTTCACATTCACAGAAAGGTGTTTGATGCATTAAGTAGTCTCCACGGTGGAGTTATTCTATTGAAATACTTCAAATATATATCTTGTACATATTACAAACAATGAAAAGCTTAATATTGTTTAGAAAAGTTTTAGTTTCCTTGGGCATGACAAAAACAGAGCTGATGTTTTTATTTCAAATACTAAGTTAGTGTTTTGATTTCTATTAAATGGTAATACGAAAATACGTTGGGTGAAGCCCATTTGAGGTCAGTTAACTGTTGCCTTGGTTTCATCCATAAGCCAAACAAATGTTGCATAAGACCGCAGCGCTCAGAACTCACTTGGTGAATAAAAAAAAAAACTGTTTTCTGTTGAAATGTAGCCTTTGTGTGGTATACCTAATTTCAATAAAAGAAATTTCATCTTAAATACTAATGATTCGTTGGCCTTCTCTTTCAGATATTAAAGTGTTTTGACATGATGCATATTTGATATCACAGTTATCCCAAAATGCAATATATTTATTCAGTGACTGTGCATGACAATGTTTGCTTCCATTTTAATTCATATATATAAAAACATTTGAAAATATTGGCATTTAGACTTGTTAGTTAATTTAAATTTTAGCTTTTGATTTTAGTCTTGACTTTTATAATTTAATTATTACCAGGGAAAAAAATTCTAGGATGGTGTTCAGAAATGTTTGTTTGGTTAACATTTCCGTAACGTTATACACCTCTTCACATGCTTAATAAATGTAGTCTTTTTAAGTTGGCTTCTTATGCGCTCCAACTTGTAAAAATTAGTTCAAAGCCTTTTTCTCACAACTATAGTTCTCATTGGGTCATTTGTAGGGGTCGAGCATTGCTCAATGGTTAATGTGACGATGTGTAGACCAGAGTATCTGTTGCTCACGCCCAGCTACCGTTCCTTTGCCTCAGATGTGAAAAACTAAGTTACTATTTTAAAAGCTTGCATTTTTATTATAATCTATTATTTATATTCTAATAATGAAAAGTTTAAAACAATTCGAGGCATTTCAAAACGAAACTAAAATTATAAGTTACAGAAAAGTATCTATTTGTTTTAAAAAACGTAATTAAGAATATGATTAAAGCCAATGTTATTATCAGTAGTACGTTTGCTGATGCTAAAGAAGTTTATTTTTATTTTTTGCTTATTTCAGTAGTGTTATTTATCGAGCTTATGTAACATTAATGCATGTTATCTTGACAATGTATAGTACTTCTGTATGCAATAGCTTGATCTTTTCTTCAAATTTCACTGAACTTTATACATTTTTATTTATATATTTACAAATTTCAATATACAGTACATGTGTATAGTCACTTGGTTTTACTACTTGTACTAAGCCCACAGCAAAGGTTGCGACCACTAGATTTTCTGCTGATAGTTACCACTTCGTGAGATTTTAATAAATTTACCACTACAAGTAAAAGAAGCAATCGTTCACATTTCTATTTGAATTATAAATTGTTTCTTATGAGTTTATGTTATGTTTGTTGACCGTCATGATATAACGCCCCCACTGCTGAAAGGGCGAGCATGTTTGGTGTGACGGGAATTCGAACCCGCGACCCTCAGATTGTGAGTCGAGCGCCGTAACCGCCAGGTCATGCCGAGCCTTGAATTATAAATAGGACTTGCAGGAATACGAAATACGAGTTTCTCTACAGAAAATAAGCTCATATGATAAGAAACTTAGTATTAAACTTAGGCTTCGAAACTTTGGATTTGTCGGCATTATATGGGATAATTTTAACAAACAATCTGAGTGGATAAAACTGACATTATATTGGATGCTTCTAACAAATAATCTGAGTGGATAAAACTGACATTATATTGGATACTTTTAACAAATAATCTGAGTGGATAAAACTGACATTATATTGGATGCTTCTAACAAATAATCTGAGTGGATAAAACTGACATTATATTGGATACTTTTAACAAATAATCTGAGTGGATAAAACTGACATTATATTGGATACTTTTAACAAATAATCTGAGTGGATAAAACTGACATTATATTGGATACTTTTAACAAATAATCTGAGTGGATAAAACTGACCATTTCAAAAAGCCAGTCAGTCACTAGCTTTCAAAGGATTCATTATGGATGATCTGATATGATTTTTATAGTCTTGAGTAATTATGAGCAAGGAATGTAGGAAATAAGGACAAAGCCACTTGGCGCCTCCTCTTGGACAAAAGGAACCATTAAAAACTTGTTACATTCCGCAGTATCTTCAATCTAAAGTACCATCAGAGATGACCATCATTGACTGAGTCTTAGAGTTTCAAGTTGGATCTTATGGCATCTCATGAGCATGGGGGAACTTTTATCCTCGATGAATTATATTACTAAATCTATCGGTTATGACGAAAGAATTACGTCATGCCAAAAGAAAAGGCTTATTACAACACAAGTTCCTACTCGACAGCGTTGGAGGACATTCGTTGATCTAAGGTGCAACAAAGTTAAACAAACACCAACACCTTTTCTGTTTCATATTCTAGTATATTAAATATATTCTCATAAGTCACTTAAATGGAGTTAGCATAAATCAAAGTTCGCCTTCATGTAGACTGGAATGAATGTTTTATAATAGGTGATGCTAAACCTTTACCAGGCTTAGCCATTGGGCCCTTAGTAACGTAGATACCATCCAACCAAAACTTATGACACAGGAAAATGTTTTTGAATTTATGTGGTTTCTTAGATTAACTCTAAGTAAAAACCATCCTCAATGAATTTTTGGTGCTCCTTCTCCCCAACCGTCACCCGATGGATCAGTGATAAGTATACAGGCTTAAAACGCTAATATTCGATTCCCTGCGGTGGACAGAGTGCAAACAACCCATTGCATAGCTTTTTACTCATTAAACAACGACCCTTTCTACAGTCAATAAAGCTGTGGAACAAAATTCAACCTGCCTAGTGATATGAGTCGACCAATGACTTCAGGATATAACCTGGAACTAGTTAAAGCCCTCTTGATGCAAAAGTTGGTATTGAGACAACATTGAGCTAGTGGATATACGCGTTACAAACAGACTTTCTAAATATTATCGCCAAGCCCTTTTATTCTAAGATAGCTTAACAAATAAGTTTAAAATTCGGAAACAACAATGTATGAACTACTGCTTGGTAATGATGTTATCAACATTAAATAAAGCCTTTTTTCTCTAAGTTTAACTTTTAAATAGCCAACACATAGACTACCCGTTAGTTATCTTCTTTTTTTTTTAACCGAAGGAAAGAGTCAACTACCTATACTGCTCACTAAAAGTTTTGTAGAGCACATAAACTCCCAATTTAAAATATAAGCTTGTCATTTAATTCAAGGCTATAATCTATTTAAGATAACTCTTGCTGATCATATAATTACTTTTAAGTACAAAATTCGCACGAAGTGTAACAAACAAAATATTCGCCACTACAAATTTTTTATTCGCACTTTTTACATAAAACCGTATCACAATACTTTTTTACATTTCGTACGATCATTATTACACCTTTCTGTAGTCAACAATTAAACTATACTAAACAAATTTCCTTTAATATAATTCTAATAGCACCCCAGAGTACTCTAAAAAACACCTCTAGGACATGGATTTATAGGAGAATGATCATTCCTGCTTGATTCCCTGGTGGATCCCCCCCAGTGGCACAGCGGTATGTCTGCGGACTTACAACGCTAGAAACCGGGTTTCGATACCCGTGTTGGGTAGATCACAAAAACAAGCAAACAAACAAACAAACCCTGGTGGATTATCAAACTGCAGAAGCATACTTCCACACTAAACATAGCCTTAGTAAATGGATAGAAAATGCTGATAGTCTTATACAGTAAACATTTGTTGGTGCAAACAGCGCCTGGACCAGAATTATCTAGAAACAAGAGGAAATTCTCAATAACAGTGGCATTTGAATTTTTTTCAGACAGAATTAGATTTTGTTTGTTTGGAATTAAGCACAAAGCTACACAATGGGCTAGAGTAAAATAATCTACGAAACGGTTTTTTTTTTCCTTTTTATTAACAATGTTTTAGTGTGCCAGCAATACTAAGCGTGGGGCGCGCGTATACTCGCCTAGACTCAAATGGAAATTATTTTAGGTAGGATTAAATTAAATTAATCTGTGGGACCTTGGGGGTGTTCAAATAAATCAATCGAAAGGGTTTGACCTCCTTAGTCCAAAACTGTAAATAGATCTAAAATCAGTCAAGAGATGACGGAGCAATGAGCTAAAAGTTTGTACTTGATAAAAAAAACAACTCGGATCCATTCTATAAGCCGCTATACCGCGGCTAATAAGAAAGACTAGTAGCACAATCTGAAAAACCTCGTAACTCCTTTATAATGTAGTAGCAGGCAAGTAGATCAGCCATTCAAATATAGAAAATATAGCTGTTTCGGTTTGAACACAGCATAATATGCAGGAGGTACAATGTGGAGAAGACGATAATTCAAGTCCATTAAAATTCGTCAACTATGCAGCTGATGACTTCACAACACATAGCGTGGAAAGCACTTCGAAAAAGCCCGTGTGAGGTATTCTGAGATTTACTTGCAATTTGCAAATGAGATAAATAAACTGTCAACCATCGCCAACAATTAATGTTGTGTACACTCTGCACTTTCAGATGCTGGTATATGAACATTAGCAATCAATTCAACTCATTGTCAAATTAGAATTGTAGATTACCAAGAACGTGTATTGGTTACAACTATTAAATCTAAGGAAAGGACAAACAAAAACAAAGATAATCTCCTTCAAAATCAAACCAAGCAGTTGTTATCTTAGTTGTCTTTTCTTCGGATAACAGCCCTGTTTTGTAGCAAAGGTGGTGGGTTTGGTTATCTTTGTTTACTAGTCACTAAAACTTTGTGATATTACTATTTATCTACTTTACAGATAAGTTCCGTGGCTACAAACAACAACTGTATAGCATTACTAACTCGACATTGTACAGCCAAGATTTATAATATTATCTCCACTGGAGTTTCAAGCAATTTTCTTCTGCCAAAAGCAATGTTCTAAACCTTTAGACAATGCTAACCGAATAATGTATTGACTTCTAATGAAAAAACTCTTCGACAATAACCCCTGTTATCCCTTATCACAGGGTCTTCAAACATTAAAGAACCGATATTACAAAATAAAATCAAAATTAATACACTAACACACACACACATCTCATAATATTAAAATTAAAACACAATAGAATCAAAACAAAAATAGCGGAGGTATCTTTATGTTCACAAAATCGAAAACAAAGTTAAAGCCTCCCCCATCTCCTTTGGCTTAGCAAAGATACCACAGACTTATAACGTGGTGGACACAGCCTAGAAAGCCCATTATAGCTTTGTGCTTAACTGCAAACAAACAAAAACAAAATTAAATGCA